AATTATTTATTTATTTTTATTTCATTACATCTATTAATTAATGTATTCTTTAATATGCCATTTTTGCATTGCATTTTTTTTAATATTTATATATATATATATATATATATATATATATATATGTACTGTATATGTGTTGTATGTGTGTGTGTGTGTATATATATATATATATATATATCTTTCTCTGTTCAAAAAAAAAAAGAAAAATGTTCATGCTTTGGCAATGTGTATGCATAATATATGTCATGCCAATAAAGCTCAGTTGAATTTAATTGAATTGAATCAAGATACCCTGCCCATAAACTTGAGTTCTTGGCTCTTAAATGGGCAGTTACTGAGAAATTTCACGGTTATTTGTATGGTAACTCTTTTACAGTAGTTACAGACAGCAATCCTCTAACATACGTGTTGTCCACAGACAGATTAGATGCAACCAGTTACAGGTGGCTAGCCACGTTATCCACCCATAACTTTAAACTGCTGTATGGAGCTGGAAAGCAGAACAATGATGCCGATGGGCTGTCAAGATGGCCACATGGAGGGCTCTCAGATGATCTCACATCTCAGAAAGAGCGTGAGCGCATACTTAAGTTCAGCGAGAGTCACCTGTGTGGTGATGAAGAAGTCACCTCTGATGCTGGGAGAGCGATCTGTGAAAGTTGCCTTGTCCACATGACATCACCTGCTATAGAGGTAGCTACTGCATTTCTTGGATCTCTGACTATGGATGTAGATGCCATACCAGACAGTTACATGGATGAGGATCAGTGTGGAGGACCACCTGTTATTTCACACCTGTCCAACTCTGACCTTGTGGAGTTTCAGGAGGCCGGCCCTTGCATCAGAGAAGTCATTCGACAGATGAAGACTGGGGAAAAACCATGTAGTTCAGTGAGAGATGCCATCCCGAAATGGCCTCTTCTGCTCAGGGAACTGGACCGTTTAATCATACAAGATGACGTTTTTTACAGAAAGAGGACAACTGACAGAAAAGTTACTTACCAGCTTGCCTTGCCAGAGCAGCTTCAAAGCGATGTAATAAAGCTTACATGACGATTTTGGTCACATGGGCATCGACCGCACTCTGGACCTTCTGAGGAGGCTATTTTATTGGCCCAAAATGGCTGCAGACATTGAGCACAAAGTGAAGACATGCGGGCATTGTGTAAGAAGGAAGGCCATACCGGAGAGAGCAGCACCCCTGGTGAATATAACTACCTCTAGGCCCTTACAACTCGTCTGTATGGATTTTCTCTCAGTTGAACCCGATCAGAGTAACACTAAGGACATAATAGTGATCACAGACCACTTCGCCAAATACGCCCTACAAAATCAATACAAAATCAATACAAAATCAAACAGCTAAGACCGTTGCAAAAAGCCTTTGGGAACACTTCATCTCTCATTATGGCTACCCAGAGCGCCTACACAGCGACCAAGGCCCTGACTTTGAATCCCACCTGTTAAAAGAACTGTGTGACATAGCGGGAATTAAAAAGATACGAACTACACCTTACCATCCCAGAGGAAACCCGGTGGAGCGGTTCAATAGAACACTCTTGAGCATGCTTGGGACCCTGGAGAACAAAAGCAAAAGTCGCTGGCGAGAGTTCATTAAACCACTTGTACACGCCTACAGTTGTACAAAAAATGACACGACTGGGTTCAGCCCGTATGAATTAATGTTTGGCCGTGAACCAAGGCTTCCCGTAGACTTAGCTCTTGGACTGCCCTTGAGAGACAAAGCAAACACATCACATTCCCAATACGTTCGAAACTTGAAATCTCATCTTGAAGAAAGTTTCCAGATCGCAGCTGAACACTCAAAGAAAATGGCTGGACAGAACAAAACAAGATTTGACAAACATGTGACTGCTTCACAGTTGAGAGAAGGAGACCGGGTATTAGTAAGGAGCCTCCGTTTACGTTGGAAACACAAACTTGCGGACAAATGGGAGCAAGCTATCTATGTGGTGGTAAGCCAAGCTGGTGACCTCCCTGTCTATGAAGTGTGCCCTGAGAACCAATCCGGACCAGTGCGAACGCTGCACAGAGATTTACTTTTACCTTGCAATTTCCTTCCTCCTGTCAAAGAAGAACCAGAAGAATTCGTTCCAGTCCGATCCCATAGAACTCGGAGTACTCAAAGGAAGAGTAAAGATAAGGATGTAAACTCGGAATTAGAAGTTCAAGAGACGTCTGATTCAGAAGATGATGTTCCTTGTTTTGTCGGACCTTATACTATTGAGATTGAACGTGTGAAAGGAAAAAGACTTTGTGCAGAGCACATTGGGCAGGGAACTAGGGGACCCAAACCCAGCACTGCTCTAGCAGACACGCACACGCAAACCACAGAGGTTTTGGAACCCCAGAGAAATCTTCAATACTTACCTGTGAACACTCATACCACGGATAGTACCTTACCTTTTGCTCCTCAAGGGTCCACTGGGGAAACTGGCTTACCTGTCCATCCAGAGGTGAAATCTGTGGAGGAAATAGAAACTGTAGAAATACCTAGTCAGAGCCCAACTGATGACACAAATCTGGAACTAAAGTCAACCTTAAATGAAACAAGGACGAGTCAAGAAGAAGAAACGCAAGAACAGTTGACAAGAACCGATAGAACTTAAGATCAGAAAAGTGAGCAAGAGGAGCCTACACTGAGGAGGTCTTCGAGACACAGAGAACAACCTAAAATGTTGACTTACCCTGAACTTGGAAACCCATTAGTGACAATAGTTAAGTCCCTCTTCCAGGGTCTCAGTACAGCTATTGTAGATTCTCTCCCACATTTTACTAACCCTGAACATGCCTACCCCATAACAGCGCAGCCTTGTAGTATGCAAAGGGACTTGCATATATTCAGAGGGGGAGGGTGTAACCAAGGTTTACAAAGTAATCCTTAAAATTCTCAAAATAGTGTGATCAAGATAAAAATGTGTTAAATAATAAACATTAAACATGGTTTAGTTCTTTGCTTCAACCTTTATTGAAAATAAAAGAATGGAAAGCAAAACAGAATAGATGCAATTCATATACTTACCGAGGTGATAAAATCAGCAGAAGTTTGTATGTAGAGAATGACTGAAAAGAAATGTTTAAGCGCCCTCTACAGGATGTTAGCGTGTGCAAAAGAGGAAGCGGAACCTAGCTTTTAAAAAAAGGGAAAAACGAGAGCAAAGAAGGAAGAAATGCATTGAAATCACGGTAGAAAACCTTTCGAAAATTATATTATTATGGTCGAATTACTTGGTTTAAGTCAAAATACTTGATCGATTTTTAGTGATACGCTTTCCGGGTCATTAAAAACGAGTTTGCGGAAAGTTAGTGTTTGATATAGACGGACTTTGCTTTTTTCTTTGTGCTAGCTAGATAATGTAGCCTGCTATGACTGATTTGCAATGAACTTGCTTGAGTTGAGCTGGTTGAAGTGACTCTTTTTAGCGATTTCCCGCTTCGGATTGGTATGTACAATATGAACTTTGAGCTACGAGAACTGTATTTGATTTGAACGGAATACTGCGTCGGATGTGGACATCATGCACAACGACAAGAACCAGATGGCGAGCCACCCACCGAACAAGACAAGATGGATTCTGCACAACGAATTAGCCCGACTGGATGCATAACGTTGATATCCTTCTTTTTAAAGTTCTACGGATAAGTAAGACTTTTCATGTTCCTCGGATATAAAGAAGAGACTGTGTTTGAAGGACTGAGATAACTGAACATAACAAGCAGAGAAATTTGAATGCATATTGAAATACCACTGCAAATGTGATTGTTGATTCCTTTTGAAGTATTGTTTACTGCTAGCCTGTATAACTGTTGGGTTATGTGAATTTTGATTGTTGTGTGAGAACTAAGGTGATTTCAACTCAGATGTTGGTTGGGAATTGAGGTTCAAACAATTCCAAATAAGATACATGAAATAAGAATATAAGTTTATTTGAGAATTTGGTTAAACTTAAACATTCAGATAATTTTCTAAATTAGGAAATAAATAAATTATTCTGATAGTTGGTAAAGAAAAATAACAGAACTAAATAAGAAGCAAATAAATCCTAAAATAGGACTGAACAAGAAACAAACAGTCATTTAAACAGTTGATACTGAAACTGAAAAACTAGAGGTTTAGACAATTTTTTATTTAGCATTTACTTGACACTGAAACTGAAATATTACAGGTTTTGACATTTTGTTATTTTGCATTTGGTATTGAAACTTCTGAGTGTGTATATCTTCTGATGACCCAGATCTAAGACTAGCCCTATTGTGTGCCGGCCAGTCACACATTAAATGTAAACAAGTGTTCCAGTTATCCCTGTAACTATTTGGTCCATTTGAATAATCTTGGTATCATAATAAAGGTAAAACCATTTGGGATTTCTGCCGTGGTGTAAAAATCAGTATATATGTCACTGAGTCAGAGTAAATGAAGATGGAACACAGTATAAATTAAAGATCTCATTTTGCACCAAAGTTTTACTTCTATCCCCTGTGAACTTATTTAGTTGCAGTCTGAGACCTCCAAAAATTAACAGCATAGAATCTCACCATCATCTGTGCTAAAGTATATTTTAGTCAAATAAATCAGAAAAAATTAGAGAGGACTATCTAGTTGGGTTCTCCAAATTGGCAATTTAAGTACCTTGTGTGCCAAATCAGATTTCTCAGATATTAAACTGTAAAACTCAACTAATTTCACTTATATGTCACTACAGGCATACATTCCACCCAAATACAACCAGTTTTTAATTTTTAGAATTTATAAATATTTTTTAAATTATTATTTCTGCCAGTCCTATAGCCTATACAATTTCCCATTCAAAGACAATACATACAAAGAAAATGAAGTTTGGCTCCACTGGAGCAGATTTATATAAAAAAGCAAATTAATAAGATTGTGAATACAAAGGAAAGGTTAAAAAATGGAAAAAAGTAAAAAGAACAAAAACCCCAGCAATTATTTATACAAGAAAAATGCTACTATTATCGCACAACTGATCGGGGATTCAAATCCTGGCCACCTGCGTTGCAGCCTTACACCCTAACCACTATGCTACATCAGTTGACTGTCTTACAGGAGTCAAATTGCCCATATAAAGAATGAGTCAAGAAAACAAGTCACTCACCTTGTTTGTACTGTTGTGCCCTCAGTATTCACGCGTTTTCTGTCAGAAAACGACTTTGAAAACGACGGTTGAATATTTAGCAGATAATTATACCGAAAATACCACAAACAAACCTGTTAAGCGTTTATATTGTCGCACTATTTAAGTACATTCGATTGGCTCATGGACTCGGTTTGACGCACTGGGAACGCAAGGCTCTTTCTCAGGCTAGGTTTGTGCGATTTAGGTGGTTTAGGGCTCGTTGGAAACGTCAGAGCCCATAGAATCAAATGGCTACTGGCAAAGTCTTCCTGACAGCATCAAAAGCCGATCACACAGAGGAAAATACATTGCAAGCAAGCTGAATGTGGAGGGGCTGAGATCTTTGAAGCAATTCTCAAGCAGAAAAACTTGCTTGGAAACTGGAGGATCTAGTTTCATTATAACACAGACACATTCAGCTTACAATAGCAAGTGTGGATTTATCCTCAAACCAGGGCTCAAAATAGCGGGTGCATAGGTGCATGTATGCACCCAGTTTTTGGCAGGTGCACCCAAAATTTAAAATTGGATGCACCGCGTGCACCTAGTAAAAATCTGCCCCTGAAATAAATCCTCTTTCTACAAATGCGCTCATCCTTACCTGGAATGATAAATTTTATCGGTAAGGGACGAGAATTAATGCCAAAATCGATGGGACCACAAGACTGTGGAACACGTTTGGTCTGAGGCCGCGTATGTGTTAACATTGGCTGATTGCGTAATGTATATTTCTCATCAAAGACTTTCCCTGATCCAGGATCAGGGAGTTTGTGGGGCATCTGCCCTCCGCGGCACCAGGAGGCGCTGCCAGCACAGACCACGACTCGTACCAATAGGACTGCGTCCTAACGGGAGAGATAAATGACGTTTTACACTGATTGGGTGGACACTTGAAATTATGCACGCATACTCTGGTAGACACTTGGGAAATTGTAATTGAGATTCATGTTTGAAGATCCATTCTCGTTGGTTGATGTATGCACTTACTCGTCGGGTGTAATTTAAGTGGCTGCTGGGTGATTAATAAAATCTTTTAAAAAAATTAAAATTCTTCTAGATTAAATATAATCTAGGAGGAGAGGGTCTTAATTATGGAGTTATGAAGAATGTAAAAATATAAAAACAGCTAAAAGCAGCACTGTTGCTGCTATTTAGGCCAGAGAGGTCCTATGATGGAGTTGTGGAAAATTACTTTAGTTTCTCGGCCAAGTCAAACAAAGTGAAATTAAATTCTAGATTGAATATTATCTGACTGTGATAAATAATAATAGTACACTCAGTTTTACCACTTTCTTCGGGTTTTTTTTTTTTTTGTATTTTTTCCATTATTTTTCTTATATATAGTGTGATTTTAATAAAATCTCATCCCACCAATAATCCAAACCCTGTTGCACCACTGCAAATTTACAGTAGTCCTATGGCATATCAAGTAATCTGAGTTGAAGAATATTTGTTTATTCATTTTGTACTGCTGCAAAGCTTGAATTAAGCAAGTTTTAGACTGTGCACCTAAACACGCACGAGTGCACCCATTTTCAACATCTGGGCGCACCATGTTAACCCAGTCAAAAAATCCTAATTCGAGCCCTGCAAACAGTTTTTTAATTACAAAATATCAAAGGTAAGAAATTTTTTTGCTCATCTCTGAGGACTGTAAAGTGCATGCCTGCTGCTCTTTGAGTGTGGTGTCGGTTGAAAATGACAGGGCATACATCGTTGGATTCTGTGGACTTTCCTCTTTAATTGTATCGTTTGTATGCATTGCACAATTCAGGAGAAATTCTAGCAACTCAGTGCTGATATGATTTTATCCTATGTTTTGCTACATGCTTGTTTACTTGCTTGGTGCTTGAATTGTGTTCGGTTGAGGTGAAAATGGTCAACATGAGCTTTGTGCCGAGTTTCTTTGCATAAAATGGATATGCCACATGACAGTGTTGCGATTTGTAAACATGCTGTATTTATTATGCGCAACCACCGCCTTCAGTACCGGGGGCGTTCGGGTTTAAGGGGTTAACTTGCTTTGTGGATACAGCAAACTTTGTTCACAGACAGTGATTTCTTGAAGTGTTCCTGAGCCCTTCCAGTGATTTCCACTGCAGAATTATGCCTGTTTTTATGCAGTGCCGCCTGAGGGCCCGAAGATCACAAGCATCCAGTAATGACCTTTGGCCTTGTCCCTTGTGCAGAGATTTCTCCAGATTCTCTGAATCCTTTGATGATATTCTTGGCAATTTTACATTTAGGTACATTTTTCTGAAATCATTCCACAATTTTTAGACTCAGTTTTTTGCAGATTGGTGAGCCTCTGCCTAGCTTTACTTCTGAGATACTCTGCCTCTCTAAAATGCTCTTTTTATACTCAGTCATGTTACTGACCTGTTGCTTATTAACCTAATTAGTTGTAAAATGCTGCTCCAGCTGTTTTGTATTTGTACCTTTTACCTTTCCAGCCTTTTGTTACCCCGTCCCAACTTTTTTGTGATGTGTTGCTGCCATCAAATTCAAACTGAGCTAATATTTTTCATGAAATGTTAATATGTCTCACTTTCAACATCTGATATGTTGTCTATGTTCTATTGTGAAAAAAATGTGTTTGAGATTTGCAAATCATTGCATCCTGTTTTATTCACGTTTTACACATCGTCCCAACTTCATTAGAATTGTGGTTTGTATGAAAACAGCATTCTAAGCATTCACACAACTCTTTTATATATGTTAACAGTTAGTTAAAATACAAAAAAAATAAATTTAAATTAACGATTAATAATTTCCTAACAACAAACACCCATAAACAAAATAATAATTTATCAAATAACGGTCGCGCTTGTAGACTGATGTGTGTCACCAGTCCAGTGTTTTTCATTTAATTTTATCTAGTTGGCTATACACATGTATGGCGTTTGATGGCGCAATTCCCCCGGTGATTCCTTACACAAGATGGCGGACGCATTTCACGTTTTGCGGTTGGTTCAGCCAATGACATTATCCACTCTAGTGTTTTCTTTAGCTCTGTGGTCAGTAGCTATCACTCTCACTGTTCGCCTCCTGGCTGGACGAGGTGAGGTGACCCCCAGTGGCTGTGGGTGGGCCCCTTCGAGGCTCAAGGTCCATCACTCTTGCCAGCAGATCCCCAAGGACGAGCATCACATCACGAAAGTGACTGTCTTCAATATGATGTGTAAAAGTGCGTTATGCAGCGGTTTGGCACCCATGGGTCCTGCATCTCTGACTTTGGCCAGAGGACGTTTATCAGGGGTCCCCCCCTCGACCAATGGCCTAACCACAGCTGAAATATCCAGAGCTTGGTCTGCCCTATAGGAAGATTACTTTCCATGGCTGTCAAGTCCTCCCCACCTGTTTCTACCAGAGCCTTGTTGGCAAGGGAGACCTCAGTCCTGTTCGGCATGGATGGCCCTGACAGAGTACTCATCACAAAGGGAAAAGACCACCCCAACGTTTTATGGACAGTGGAGATTTATGCAAGTTTCCTGCGATGCCATTGATCTTGAGAGTCACCCTATTCATCCCTACACCACGTTGAGGAGAGGTTGTATTTTGCAGGGGCTCCAAACGATGAGGACACCAAAGTTTCCAGAAATCCCTTGTGCAATCCATTTTTCACCATGGCAGCAATCTTGAAAATGCTATTTGACCTCTTTGTAAATGCTTTCTGCAGCAATTTAGCTGAAATTTGGTACGTAGGTACTAAGCAGCATAACTCAACACATGTATTCCAGTTGTTTCTGAGCAATGCACTTTGATCTTGATTTTACCTCTGACATCAGACTGTGCGCCTAGTCATAAATGACTTTAAAAGTCTTTTACTCTGACTAATGAAGCTGAAACTTCACGGGCATCTTCTGACCAAGGAGGACACCAACATTTAAAAAAACCATTGCCATCCTTTTTAAATATGGCTACTGGGCCAACCTTCTTGAAAATGCCATTTGACCTATTTGTCAATTATTTCTGCTGTACTTCAACTGAAATTTGGAGTGTCCAGTTGAGCTAATGTGCACGTGACACTATTTTTTAATCGGAGTGCACTGAATAAAAAAGAACCACATAGGCACAATAATACACAGAAACACTCTAAATACATCGAATATTTAGAAACTGCTTTGGAGAGCACATTTGCTCATTAGAAGAACTTGTACTTGAACTGTAATGATGAATGGTGCCTAAATGAGCCGTTTTTGACTGGTGCATGTGTGCTTAATGTCTTTTTGTGTTCATTAATGGTATTATTTGTGTATTTGTTTGAGCATGTTTTTAGAGCTCAAATGACTTCTTTACAGGGAATTCAGAATTTAACTAAACATATAAAATTTAACCATAAAATTGGTGTCAATCAGTTAAATTTAAAAATGAACCATTATTACCGTATCAAAACAGAAAATGTTCACGGAGTAGGTTCTATTTATGTAACACATCTCATGTTGCTTTCCAGGGGACTTCTAGATGCAATTGAATGAGTACGTGCAATTGAGAAAAAAAAAACACACCCTGAAGAATAACATGGATAGTTTCTACTAATTAACTTCACACTAACAGTTAATAATTGACATTCTATCCAGCCTCAGTCCATTTAACAAAGGAGGTTGTCCTATCTCAGTTTCTGTCTGAGTGGCTCTGTCCTTGCTCACGATGGAGGACACTGCAAGCCATAGTGGGGAAATACACAGCATGAAAAGGGGGGAGCTTGTCAATAGATCACTGTCTCTGCCTCTCACCACTGCTAAGGTGTGCGCGTGAGGTGTGACATTACTATGCACGGGTTGAGTTGCCTCGGGCTCTGGCCAAGGGAAATGCTTTCAAAGAGCAATCTGTTACACTGACAAGCCATTTAAGCAAAGGTATCCTCACCTGCGGTAGTATTTTTTTTCCAAAAAAAAAAGAGTGAACCACACAGTA